TACACTTAAATACCTCACTAAAAGTATAATCTGGCCAATTCCATAGGGACATCATTGGGACATGTACACTAATAGCTGGTTTCACAGGCAATCTTTTCAGAAACATGCAGAATCTTCTTTTAGCTTTTTCCAGTCATGGAAAATACTTAGCCACGAAAAATATTTCACATCCACCTGGAACTTCATTTAATTAATATACCACATATTAGTATTCTATGTTCTAAAATACAGTTCCCTCTTCAAAACGTTGGCAGCTGCTACTAAAAGACTTTCATTCCCTCTTTCCCAAACCCCCAAACCAGTTTCACTTCAAGAAGATGATGATATCACAATACTCAATAACAGCTATAACCTATCTATTAATTATTGTGCTATGAAGTCCAAAATAGTATCAGGTAACTTCATTTAACTGCTTGTCTAATTGTTTTTACGCTTTTTTATTGCTACTTCTACAGCCACTAAGGGTTCTAACACTGAAACCTCTTTAAGATCCTTGAGGATTTGACACAGTTCACTCTGAGTGCTTTGATGCACTATTCATTTAATATTCGACTAAATAAATAAACTTAGCTTGTTATTTAAGGGTTATTAAATATTTTCCACAGCTATCAAATTTATGAAAATTTCCACGAGTGCCCCTTGGTATTTAAACAGTGCTAGCAGTTTCTGTAAAAATTAAGGATACTGCAACTTTAAAAAATAATATACAGATTTGAATTTGTTACACACCTTTGGAGCCCATTATCTGAGCAATCTCACACTGAAACATTAATCCAAATCAAATAATAACTTACACCGTATATAGGATAAAAAGAATATTACACAGGGGGAGGCTCATATTCAGCTGCTATCTCTTCACTGTATCTTTTTGCCTACCCAAGGTTTGCACTACATTCCTCCCTTGTAAATTATTTGGTAGATATGCTGAAGGCAGTCAATATTTTGCCACAAAGATTTTAAAATGAACTGTTCGCTTCCTTATGTAAATACATCACTTTATATCACAAAATGTTTATCTGCAATTAAATCATTCAATGAAACATCTGATAGACAGGAGGGAGAGCAGACTAACATTCATGGTAATCATCTCCCCGTGTGTAATAGTCTCAGAAGAATAACAATGGAAATCCAGCCCTGGGGTTTCTTACCTTAAATCTAAGCAACCACTTAATGCATAAATGGAGCAAATAAAAGAGGTAAGGAAAAAAAGCATTGAAAGGTTAGTTGGAACTTGAGGATATGAAGAGAAAGGAAAAAGAAAGAAAAAAGTTAAGCATTCAGCATTAACAAAATAATGTATCAGTAGATCATAGAAAGAGTGGTTAAAGCAGAATGTGTCATGAACAAAAGATTTTCAAGCTGAAACTTTCAATATACATTGATCACAAAGCCTTCGGATTATCAAATGCTTGTACACTGTTTATTCAAGTTCTTAAAGTGATTAAAAAAAAGTGAGCTTCTTTCAGAATGCAACATAATATCTAGATGCATTAACTTCAAAGATTAATTTATTTGAGCTGTCTAAGAATAGCCTTATCAATACCCTGAGCTCATTTAAACTGCTACATGCACTAGTATATTTACAACTAGCTGAAACAGAAGCCCCTAGAATACTAATACTAATATATAATACTAATATATGTTCTTTCCTAGACAATGCTGTTAGTTGACTCTTAACCTGACACCATAAGATGTCTCTTGAACAAAGATCAAGAGCAAATCATTATATCTTCTAAGACGTACAGCATTCTATACGGATAATGCATCACATACCAGTATTTTCTAAACTATATATTAAGACATTAACCAACAACAAAATCTTATTTTAAAGCCTAAGTGCTAGCTTTTCGACATTAACTCCTAGATCTTACTGGCATAATACCAT